GTGTCTGTCTGTCTGCCTCTCTTGGTGCCGGAAATCAAATGTAGGACTTTGTTCCTGCTAAACAAGCACTTCACCACTGAGCTTTGTAAGTGTTTTTTATTACATTTATTTTGTGTGGGGTGTAACTTTGTGCTACTGCATGGATGTCAAGGTAAGAGGACAGATTGTGGGTGTATGTTTTCTCCTATCATGTGGGTTATAGGAGAGACCTCACATCATCAGGCCTTTTGGCAAGCACTTTAACCCACAAAAACATATCAGCCCTCTTTTTTGTTTGTTTGTTTGTTGTTTTGTTTTGTTTTAATTCTTAGATATGGTTTCAGTAAGTTTCTCAACCTGGCCATGGATTTACTTGAATCTGTAATCCAGAGTCAGGTTGTTCATTTATTTCAAGGGGGTCCTTCTCAGTCACTCATGGTAGGGGAGCTATAATTAGTCAAAGCCTCTCCTGCTTTCTATCGCAAGGAGTCACTGCCAAGGCCCAGGTGACTGGGCTGGACTGTACAGGATAGAGCGAATGCCTGTTCCCTAGCTACCCAGGGTTAGGAGAAGTCCTGCCATCAGAACGAAGTGTAAAAAGCCCAGTCATTCTTGCCTGCCAGCCACCTTCAAGTGTGGACAGAGCCCTTTCTCTTAACCTCTCAGAACACAGCCAAGGGCAGACTGCAGACACAGTCAGGAGCAGTGGCTGCCAATATCCAGTAATGTTTGCCAGTTCTAAGCTGAAAAGGAGAAGTCTGTCAATTCCCAACTGTTAACTTATTTAAGTTTCTTAGGTGTATTAGATTAGGTATAAAACTTATTCACAAGGTTCCAACATCTGTATATATATCTGCTTACAATATACAAATTGAATAAAAAATGTAAAACTCTATTAGTATTATGCATGTAACATGATAGATAATGTTTTCCTGAAATTATATTTTCTCATGGGATCAGAGTGTGAAACTCACTTCTATGGTTATGCCTAGGGTCAGATGTAAAGTCAAGTGCAGTGTTTGGTTGCAAGGTTACCAGTAGATGGCTCAGAATAGGCATTGAAATATATTGTTTCAAGAATACGATTTAGATAAATACAATTTAAATAAATTGTTTTAAAGGATATAATTTAAATAAGAGCAAAATGTATTTTTGTTTTAAGAATTTGCAAGTACAGAGGCATTTTGTCTGCCAGGCTCATAACACAGGACCCTGGAGTTTCTGCTTCCACCCCGAAAACAGTGAATTAGAGCCTGCTTTCTTTCTATTTTAAAACGTGTTGCGTGTGTATGTTTGTGCACACATGTGCTGTGATGGGTCTGTGGATGTCAGGTGACAACGTACAGGAGTCAGTTCTGTCCTTTCACCATGAGGGTTCCTGGGACTGGACTCGGGCCATTAAGTTTGGTAGCAAGTGTCTTTATCTCGCCAGCCCAGAACACACATTTTAAAGATGTCCAGGTGATGGATATACAGATTAAAATTTGAGAAACATGAACTTATTTCCCAATTTATTCTTCACTGAGCAAATATGAAGATGGGGTATAGTTTAAAATTTTTTTCTTTTCTCTTTCTTTCTTTTCTTTTCTTTTTTTTAAATTTGAACAGGGTCTTGTGTAGCCCAGGCTAGCCTCCAACACATTATGTAGCTGAGCATCACCTTGAGTTTCTGATTCTCCTGCTTCCGTCTCTTGACTGTTGGAATTTCACACGCGGATTGTTACGTGGGTTTTTTTTTTTCTTTTTGCTGTGCTGTGCTGAGGATCAAACGCAGGGTTTCACAAATGTAAGACAAGCATTGCTGAGCTACATGGCCTGTAAAGACACTTTATCCTCCTCTTCTTTTTCATCTCTTCGACAATTACTTGCTCCCTCTTTTGCAGGGATGCAAGAAGGTAGGTTTAAGATGAACTCAGAGTTCTCGAGGAATGACAGTAGTATTGATAACTTCAAAGGGCCCATCTAGGTGACTTCCTCTAGGGAGGCTCCATTCGGGAAGTTCCTCTATTTATGGGAAATATCCAGAGTAGGCAAGCATATAGAGACAGAGACTAGATTACAGCCCGGTAAAGATTTGGAGAGGAGAAACTAGAGAATGAGCAGGAGGCATGGGACATCTTGTGGGGTTAGTGATAATTAGTAGTGATAGTTTTGAGGTAGAGTCAGTGGTGATGGTAGCACGCCTGGAAATGGTTAACAAGCCTGGCTGTTCATGTGTTCTCTTGGGAATCAGAACGCAGGTCCTCCTGCTTCCACGGCAAGCATTTTACTCACTGAGTTATCTTTCCAGTCTCTATTTCAGTCATTTTCTTGAAACCCTGCCCGCTAGTGATTCAAACCTTTTGTTTTCTCTCCGACTTTCATTTTTCCTGTCAGGTAGTGTCCTCTGGCATTCTGAGAGCTACAGAGATGACTCAGAGGCTTTCGCCTTGGGTAGTAGCTGTGAGCAGATCACCGAGGATCAGTGATGCCCACACAGGCCTAAGGATTGTGCAGTAAAATGATTATTGTGAAAAGCGCCAAAGGGATGCTTAACCTAGAGCTATCTGTGTTACAGAAGGAGGAATTATTTTTTTCCTTTTTAACTCTGTTGAACTGTCTTTGATCTTTTGTTGAAGGATGAATGGATTTCAAAACGGAGAGCCAGAGGAAAGAATACATAATTAGGGAAGAAGGAATGAGCATAGGCTGAAACTGATACGTCTCTCTGTCCAATCTGCATTCTCAGACAAGGTCTTATATAACCCAGGCTGTCCCTGGACTTGCTGGGTAGCTAAGGATGTTCTTGCCTCAGCCTCCCAAGTGTCCAAGCTAGACATTGCCAGCTAGACAAGAAAAGGTAGGAGTGGATGAGAAGAAGTGATAGACATTGCTGGTTTTAGAAGTTTTGCACACATTTTCCTGAGTGGTAATTTTGTTGACATGGAGCAAAGATCAACTTCTCAGCATGTGGGTGCTGGGTGCTGGGTGCTGGGGATGGAACCCAGGACTGTGTACATCCTGGGCAAGTGCTCTTCCCTCAACTCCCTAAAAAAACTTCTTCTTCCTCTTCCTCCTCCTCTTCCTCCTCCTTATTTTTCAAGATAAGCCTTCAGTGTGTAGCCTTGGCTGTTCTGGAACTTGCCTTGTAGACCAGGCTGGCCTCGAACTCACAGAGATCTGTCTGCCTCTGCCTTCCCAGTGTTGGGTTTAAGGCATGTACCACCACTGCCCAGAGAAACTTTTTTTTTTTTTTTTAATAAAGATAGTCTCTGGTAGGGTACAAAGATTAAAATCAAGAACTAACAAGAAGCCTGGCCACAGAAAAGGGCATTGACACCCCTCCCCTTCAAAAGAGGCAAGGGCCTTAGAGATGGGTCAAAGGGTAAAGGAAAGGAATTTGCTGCCAAGTTTGAAGTCTTGGGTTCAATCCCTGGGACCCACATGGGATTACCAACTCTCAAATCTTGTCCTCTGACTTACACACATAGACACACACACAAAGACACATACACATGTTTTGGGAATATACAAAATAAAGAAATGGAAGAAAGTAAAAAAGAGGCAGAGGAAACACGAGGGTACTCCCAAACTCTCTTTTCCATCATTTCAGTTGAGGTCACCCAGGCCATAGAAATGTCCTATCACCAGCAAATCTGTATTTCCCAGAAAACACTAGAGTAACACTGCTCAAAACCCTGGCACGATAATACCAACTCTCATTCTTAAAACCAATGACCGAATTTGATTTTAAACAGCAGTGTTCCTGGCACACAGAAAGCACCCATCCTTTGTTTCACCCGTGAACGTCTTTTGCTTAAGCTTTGTTTTCGAGAGTCTATATTTAGGAGGAGAAATGATTGAAAACTGCCCTTCAAAGCCTGTACCCTCTATTAGCACTAAGTTGGGACAACCTGAAGCCAAGAGATCTAGTTTCCCACTTTGCGCTATTCCCTTCTTTTGTGTCCCGTCAGTAGGTACTCCCGGGAAGAGGGAGGAGGGCAGGGCTGACAGTCAAAGAACCAATCCCGGCCGGACTATAGGGTGTGGACACGGAGCCACGCCCTCCTCTCCCTGCCCGCTAAGTCCCACCTCTCTCGCACCTGCGAGTGCCTGCGCTCCTAGGCTGGCGGCCCCTCGAAGCCGGGTGGGAGGAGGGAAGGGGGCGGAGCAGGGGCGTGGCCTCATCTCTCGCGAGACCGCCTCCTGTTGCTGAGGCCGCCGTTCCGACTCTCTGACTGGCCGGCGGCCGCGCAGCCGCCATGTTCGGTTGCTATGCTGCGGCCTAGGAGACGGGGTGTGCTTGGGGGAGGAGGAGGAGACGGAGGAGGCGGAGGAGGCGAGGGAGGAGGAGGAAGGAGAGGAGGAGAAGAGGGAGGAGGGTGACCGAGCTTCTCCTTTGCACTCTCACACAGAGCCGCCTCCCTGGAGTCACCCGCCGCCTCACGCCGCGCGCTTTCCTGCTCTGCGGACGCGACATTGTTCTTTAGGACTCCTGGGACCTGTCAGAAATCGGGGCTCCGGGACTTGAAAGAGACGTGACTGTGGCCCGCGGGCCGCGTGTTGGGGGGACCGCGGCACTTTCGGGGCGCGTGCGACGGGATTAGCTCATCTCCCTGCGAGGTGCGAGCGCGCG